TATATATATTCATTCGAGTCTCTCGCCTTCACCCTTTGTCCTTCATGCCAAAGTCTGCCAGTGGTCTCGTCAATCTGCAGCTGCTGTCTGTGATAAGGCTGCCCTGCTGAGCTGGGACCTTAAAAATGGGTGCGCATTGTACGTCCATCACAAACAGAAGACTATCAAAGACACGGGGATGATGTTTTAAAAAGAGGAACGTCACTCTGTCTCCATTGTTTTTTTCATCTTTCCTCAGCTCTGATGTTTATCAGAATGAGTCACATTCCCACAGATCACTCACAATCAAATTAAAAATAGATCACTTATCAACAGTTTGAGTCCCCATGGACTCTTAATGTTTACTTCTAATGAAAAAACAGCCGTTCTTTCTTTACTGGTACCACGCTATAAAAACCATTATGAATAAACAGAAAATTGACAGTTAATTAAACTGTAGTTAGAAGCTATTTAGGTGTTAGAGCCACTTAGACCCTATCCTAGGACACATTGGGTGAGGGGTGCGGTACACTGCAGACAGTTGGCTAGTCCCATCACAGCAACTAACACAGCAACTCAGACGATTCATGCTCACATATGCATCTAAGGACAATGTGGAATCATTAATTAACCCAAGGGATTCCATGCAGCCACAAGGAAAACACACAACCTTCATGACAAAAGGCCCAAGCTGTGAAATGACAAATAAATATGTTGATAACTGGTTTTTTAAACCAACCGATGAACATTATCAGTGTGGCTATTTTAAAGTTGCATCTGATATTTCTAATACTTGTGTTTCAGCGGACAGTCCAGGTCCCAGTAGGAGAAAAAAAACCTTTTAACCTGGAGCTGCGGTTTATGTTCTGTTCATTATGTATGTGTTCACTGGTTGTTTAGTTAGGTTAATAAATCAAAACTATGCCTGTTCAAAACATTAATCTTGCAGGCTGAAAAGTGACACTTAATGTTTTCCAAGTGAGACCACAGATCAGTAATTAAACCTGTATGACTAAACAACAACCTCTAGTAATATGAATGAATGCATAATGTAATATATAAAAGGCTTATGGGTCATCTCCTCTTGTTAGCTATGATTCAATACATAATATGTAATACA